GTGGTATGTACCTAGACATTGAAAGGCAACATATGAAAACTTCAAAACTAAAGATGCATCCGGGAAAAGCAGCCAAGCAAGTGTCCATGCAAAGACTCTACGGCAACTGAGAGGGGAGAGGGGAGGCACATATAGATAGGAGAAAGAATCCAGCAGTAGAATGCAGCAGCAGATTCTCATGAGCGGCTCCGTCAGGAAGCGGGTAATGGCCCTGGGCCCACTGGTATCTAAGAAGAACGAAAGAAATACAGAAAAGAACGGGAAGAGAAGGAAGAAAGGTCTAGAGGAAAAAGGGGAAGACACAGAAAGGCGTTGTTGAGAAACCGGAACCTCCAAAAATGTAAGCTACATTTTGGGGCGCCCCAAAACCGGTGGTATGTACCTAGACATTGAAAAGCACCATATGAAAACTTCAAAACTAAAGATGCATCCGGGAAAAGCAGCCAAGAAAGTGGCCATGCAAAGACTCTACGGTCAAATGGCAACTGAAAGAAAGAAACCAGCAGTAGAATGCAGCAACAGATTCTCATGAGCGGCTTCGTCAGGAAGCGGGTAATGGCCCTAGGGCCCACTGGTATCTAAGAAGAAGGAAAGAAATACAAAAAAGAACGGGAAGAGAAGGAAGAAAGGTCTGCAGGAAAAAAGGGAAAACACGGAAAGGCGTTAAGAAAACGGAACCTCCAAAAATGTAAGCTACATTTTGGGACGCCCCTAAACCGGTGGTATGCACCTAGACATTGAAAGGCAACATATGGAATCTACAAATATCTACAGAACTAAAGATGCACATGGGAAAAACAATCAATATGGAAAGTTGAAAGCCACCTGGAAAGGCTACCAAAAGGTCAAAAGGCCTTGGAATGGCTCAAGGGCTTGAAACTAGGTTGGGTTGTGGAGGTAAGAGATGGCCAGGGTGGCTGGGTCCTAAGAAAACCATAAGAAACGTGTAACGCTTATGGTTTTGTTATGATTTTGATATAGTTTTGATATGATTTTGGTATGGTTTTCCTTTTCCGAAGGATGGAGGCAGGTTCCCCAAAGCGACCTGGAAAGGCTACCAAAAGGTCAAGCTTTGGAGTTGCCCAAAGGCTTGAGAAAAAATAGCAAATCATACCAAAACAATAACGAAACCATAAAAAACATACTTTACATGCATGCTTCTGTCACTGGCTTGGAAGTCTTAAAAATAGCAGGAAGAAAAGGAAGACGGTCTAGAGGAAAAAGGTAAAACACAGAAAGGCGTCAAGAAAACGGAACCTCAAAAAATGTAGCTTACATTTATTCAAAAAATGTAACTTACATTTTTTAAGGTGCCCCTAAGAAAATGTAACTTACATTTTTTAAGCCCAAAGTTGCAAAAAATGTAGCTTACATTTAGACAGGTCCCCCCCCCTTAGGGGTGGGGATGTTTCTTGCTGTTGTTTTTGAGGTTTCTTTCAGATCAACATTTTCAGCTTGGATGTTTGGCGCTGCTTGGTGGAGACAGATTGACTGTACAATGATTTATATATTCATGGCAGGCAAGACCAAGCCTTTTGATATGCTTAGCAGTTGTTCAGGTCAAGGCTTGAACAAGCTCGCTGAGGGTGAAGGGCCTTGGTCAAATGCCTTTTGCTCAGTGCCAGACTCTTCCAAGCAAATTGGCATGGGGAAATCATCCATCGCGTATGGTCGTGTGGCATTTGCAACTGAGACAGGTGCCATCCCAGAGACCTGCAGTGCGTGAGATCGCGCATGATCGACATGACCTTGCAGAGTTGTAGCTGCCAAACAAGGCCGTTCGTGTATACAGTGTACACATTTTGCAGACCAACTTCCCCATAGATCCGGCAGCCAACAACAGAAGAGCGTTCAAGGCATCTTGTGCGTTTCACTTCCGTGGTCACACGTACCATGTTGAAAAGGGGTCTTGCGAGACGATGTCAACGAATGTGTTTGTTGTGACAGATGGCTCCTTGTTGGGGTAGCTCCTCATGTCAGGTCAGGTCAGGTCCTTTCGGCCCAAGCGATGAAATCCAAGATGCGGTTCTCGATGTTTCCAGTTAGCCTAGCGCTGGCACGTTGCCCAGCACCTCAAGCACCTGTTGGCACTTCGACTGCCAAGCGAGATTCTGTGTGTGATGGGATCTTGATGGATGGCGAACATTGCATACCACTGTGTCCTGGCTATGATCCTTCACCTCCTTTGCTGTCTTGCTTTGGCGACCAGCTTGTGCCGGAAGCTTTCGCTTGCAAACCGCAGAGAACCTCCAAAGTGAGGGAAGATACAGCTTTTGTCGATGATTTTCCAGTATCAAACTGCTTGCAAGAAGCGGCTGAGTGCAGCCACCAGGCTCGCAGAGCAAGCAAGAGTTTGTGCAACCTGATGAGCAAAAACTTTCATGCCTTTCTCAGTGCTCAGTACTCGTACTCGAACGTTTTGTTGAGAATTGTATATGTAGTTGAATGTTGCAATCCTCAGAGGGTCCTTGCTCCCTGACCAGCGCCTGCAGTACGTCACCCATTTGGCACAATCAGGCACTTGGGAAGGCACGACATGCACTGTCACCATTTGTTTGGATACTGTATGAATTCTGTGACAGATTCTTTCAGTTCGCATTGAGTTCCGTTTCCAGGAAGTAGCTTCAAATGAGGGCTGCAAAGCTCATTGTGCCCAAGACCTTGAAATGGCACCAAGTTGGGACGGCACAACGTTTGCTCATAAGAGCGATGGCCTAACCTAGAAGCGATGGCCTCCAACCTAAGAGCGATGGCCTCTATCCTAAAGAAGGCTCAGTTGGGCTGCTTCTGGGTGTCAATCGTCTCCAGCGTCGGAGCCGTGCTGTGACAAAGAGCCAGCACTGGGTACTCTTCACGACGCTTCACACGGCCCCATGCTAAGTGGATGCCAAAGGGACGCGCAGACTGACTGTTTTCTGTGTTGCAGAGCATGACTGGCAAGCACGTCAAACTTATCAGTGTGACTGTTCACAGTCTTCATCTCGACGTTCTTTTGGCACTTAGCATGCATGTCACAGGATGTCTATCATATTCTATAATCTCCATATGTCACACAATTCACGATGCTTGCATCCTTGTCGCGTGGTAAGAGGATTTCGTTTTGCTTCCTTTGAGGTCCAACTCAAACAATATCAACAAGCCATAGAGAGATGGCAAGATCGGGGGACATTCAAGCTGATTAAAGTCAAATTACTGTACACGAGGTGAGACGATATCACGCGAAGATTCTAAGAAGACTGAAGCATTGTTTGCATTTGTTTCTCATGGGTGAGGCTGCTGAGGCCGAGGCCGAGGCTTGGCTTTCGCTTCCCTGCTTCGCTTCGCACTGTTTTGCCGTTTCGGCCAGGATGGCGCAGGAAGTCGCAAACTTATTCAAAGAAGACATGGCAAGATAGAACGGGCGTATATATTAAATAAGTATATATATATATATACACATATGCAGATACATTTTCATGAATCATCTCCTATTTACACGCCTGTTTCGTACAAGGCTTTTCTGCTTTGACTGAACCAAATGCAATTTCTTCAGGCCCTTTGGTAGCAGCACTGCGAGAAAGGCTGAGGCCGAATCAATCATTTGTCCTTTCCTCGAACCGCCTATTATTGCACATGCATCAAGAATCAAGGCTCGCTTTAGAAGAGCTTGGCGAGTGCATTACCCTCAGACTTTATTTATCCAGCCTTCCCAAACATTTACAGCCATTCATGTGTTTATCGCATTGAGGCAGGCAGCATCTTGGTCCAGACCAGCTGGCCCATCAACATATTAGCAGCGACCTCAAGGACCTCCTAACTGCCTTTGATATTTGATGTCTCAGCTAAGTTGTTTCGGCCTGCCCAAAGTCTTCTCTTCCGATCGGGAGGACCATGCTGATGTGCTGGGACCAGCGGCACACTCTGCACTTCAGCGGCAGCAAAGTAATGTTGAATGAAGCTTGATGCCCAAACTTTTTGCAAGGCAACATTGTCATTTTTTGACTGCCTGAGGGTGTGGCTCCTGCCGGGAGTGCGGAGAAAGACACTTTCTCAGTCCCTACAGATGGCAAAGGCTGACGTGCACATGACATGCAATGCGCTGCATGCGGAGATTTGAGGCAGTGGCTGCACCATCACAGATTGAGGACAGCCAGGCCTTGCAGCTCATAATTACCGAGTTCAATTTGTGGCCGATGCCTGAAGTCCTATGGTCCTATGGAGGCTTTGGAGCACAGCTTGAAAGAAGAGTTGAGCATGGCCAAGGTCCTTCACCGTCCTTTCTCAAGTTGCCCAGGGTTCCAAGCCATTTGTTGTTGTCGTTGAACTCAGTTGAAATCGAAAGGGACTTGGAAATCCTGGAATCGCAAGTCGAAACCATTTTAAACAGAATGACCTTGTCTACGGGATGCATTTTTGCACTTACTGTATATTGCACACATGTATAAGTATGTACTGAGTTCAAGGCATGCACACGCACAATATATCGGTTTCGTCGTGGAGTTGTACAAATGTGTCCAGCACCTAACTTAAAGGGGCTCGCATATGACTTGACCAGAAGAGCTACCAAAGCTGGGTCGAAGTGATGAGACTGTCACAGGCGCACTCAAATGCCCAATGCAGGCCCTACTGATGCTGAGTAATGTCTCGCTTAGCATGGACCTTGAAAGCTCACAGGCAGGGTACCCTGACTTAGCAAAGCTCCGAGACACCTGTTTCACTTGTTTTGTGTGGTGAAGTGAGATGCATTCTGGGCAGGAAGATGTTTTGGTGCCAAATGTTGTCAAGCTGAAGGGTTTGTAGCTTAGGCTGGAAGAGTTTTCTCAGCGCAAACAGTTGCTTGGGTTTCTCAAAGTGTCGGGCCAAGGAAACCCCAGATTAATACAGCTGCTCATTACCCTGAGGCAGAAGGCCAGGTTTTGTCACCTTGGGAAGCCGCATCGCATTGTGAGCAACACATTCCGCCGGACGGACTTGCTTGCCTGAAGCTTTTCGAGTACATCAAGCAATAGATACTGTAGATAGATAGATAGATAGATAGATAGATACCGAGAGAGAGAGAGAGAGAGCGCGAGTGAGCGAGCAGCAGAGAGCGATAAGCGGAGCTGTGTCAATGGCGCTTTGTTCCATTCTATGAACTTTGATGCTCCCGAGCGCCTCGCTACATGAGCTCAAGCTTGCGGACTTTCTACAGCTGGATTGGACCAGTGGTGGTGTTCCTCTCAGTGCCTCAATGCCAAGCAACGATATTGGGGGATGCCATTGTCTCAGGACTCAAGCGATGCCATTGCAAAAAGCATGACAACATGCTGATTGATATGGTCAACCTTTCGCACATTTGTTGAACTGGGCAACCCTGCCACCCTCTTTTTCCCCAGATAGCGAAGCTATGGGGTTCATACTTCAAATAACAATGAGTTGCCCGTGCGCGCTTTCGAGACAGGTTGCTGGGTGCCGGGTGCCGGTGCTGGTGCTGCTGTGCGCGTGGTGGAGACAGGTTGCTCGTGCTGGGTGCCGGGTGCCGGGTGCCGGTGCTGGTGCTGTGAGCTGGCTGTGCATGTGGTGGAGACAAATTGCTGGTGCTGGTGCTGGGTGCCGGGTGCCGGTGCTGGTGTTGTGAGTTGGCTGCACGTGGTTGAGACAGGTTGCTGCTGGTGCTGGTGGTGGTGCTGGGTGCCGGGCGCCGGCGCTGGTGCTGTGAGCTGGCTGTGCGCGTGGTGGACACACGGTGCCGGTGCTGGGTGCTGGCAGTGTGCGTGGTAGAGACAGCGGGCGCCGGTGCCGGTGGTGTGAGCTGGCAGTGCGTGTGGTGGAGACTGCTGCGCGCGTGGTGGAGACAGGGTGCCGGGTGCTGGGTGCCGGGTGCTGGTGCTGGGCGCCGTGAGCTGGTGTGCCGGTGCTCGGTGCTGGTGCCCGCTTTTGACAGTGAAGTGGTGACAACCGCCGCTTCTAACAGTGAAGGGTAACAAACCGCCGCTTGCAGCAGTGAAGGGCGACCAAGTGCCGCTTCTGACAATGAAGTGCCAGCATTCAGGGCCGCATGAACTCATGCACGCAACCTCATACGGTGTCGTCGCTTGAGCGTTCTTTGTCTATTAGCGCTGTGGGGTATTTACACTCTTCAGGTTCTGTTTTGGCCGACAGCTGTGTCAAGGGCTGTACTGTTTGCACGCATACTTTTGCACGTATACTGTTCTATGCGCAACGTCAGGCTCTCAACCGACCATTGTTTCAGCATGTTTCAGCATGCTACACACACAATAGTCGTGCTGGATACTGCTTGGCCTTGGGCGAGTGAAACCTACGGGCTTTGCCGTTTGTGCGCGTACTTTTGTGCGCATAAAGTGATACGCGCAAGATCATGCGGCCTTATATTCTGCAGATCGTTGCTTCAAACATGCTACAAAGTCAATAGTGGCGCTGGATACTGCTTGGCCTTGAGTTTGCTGTTTGCGCGCATACTTTTGTGCGCATAAACTTATACGCACAAGATCGTACATTGTTACTCCCCAAATAGGGATAGCTATGGGGCTCTTGCTGCAAATGCGAATGAGCTGGCTGCGCGCGCTTTCGAAAGGGTGTCGGTGCTGGTGCTGGTGTTGTGGTCCTGGGTGCTGGTGCTGTGAGCTGGCTGAGCGCACGTTTAAGACGGGCGGCGGCGCAGGTCGGGTGCTGCCGCTGCCGGTGTTGTCAGCTGGCAAAGTGCACCTCCTGGTGTCAGCTGATTGTGCGCTGTGGAGGTGCCGTAAGCTGGCCGCGCAAGCTGCGCACATTCTTGTTCCAGCCAGTCGCATGTCAACAGGTCGTGGAATTCTGCCTAGCTATCTGGGCAGGCCTATGCTGGTGTAATTCCGTTTGCTTTACTTGAACGACCTGCTTCATGGAAACGACCGTTGCGAGGGATGTGCCCCCTTGGAGGAAAGCCTCTTTCATTGAATCGGTGCCTGGCCGCTGCAGCTTCCGATATCAACCTCAATGCGGTGTCCACTGTGTGTCATGAGGACGTACGGGGGCATGCAAGTAGCAAGTACTATATACCCCCTCAAGGTTTTTGGCCCAAGTGCCCACATGGTGGCGCAGTACACTGTTTCTTTGCAGGGTTTGCCATGGTCTGCCGAAACTAGGGTCTTCGGGATTTCAGCGAGAAGTTCTCAATAGCTGTTGCGCCCTAATCACCTTTGCGTCAATGCGCCGAAAGTGTTTTGCGCAACGCAGGACATCCAGCGGTTCTACTGCCGGAGGGTGCGTGATGTTGCCTCCAAGAGCCTCTCAGCACTGAAGAAGCTGCTTTGGCCCAGTCGGGTAAAGGGTTTTGGTTTTCCAATCAGTGCTCCCTGACTACATATTCATATAATGTTTTTCAATTGGGCGTCCTCTTCTTTAAAAGTAGTGACTCGCGCAGTGACTAGTGCCGTGTTGGACTTGTTGGCCTTTTGTTCGACCAATGTAAGCACCACTTCACTGCAGTGCGAGGATATACTGAGCGCTTTGTCTCTGGTTGTGTTGCCGGTGGTGATAAGGAGAAACCTCAGAATTGTCCAGATGAGTGCCAGGCAGAATGTTCATGCTGACTTTCAATCCAGGACCCCGAGCTGGTCTTCCGCCCCTTTCATCGGGCGACCATTGCCTACGCAACTTACAGCCAATTTGCCATTTGTCATTTCGATTTAGTGTCGATTGTCCGTGGAAGGACTGCGTTGTTTTGTCAGGTCATATTGGCACATCAGTTTCCAGAGCAGCTTTGCTGACTTGGGCAAGCTGATGTTTTTGGCATATCAGGATCTTTTCCTAGAGGGGTTCATGTGGCTATGTGATGTTCTTGCCGCAGATTTGTGATCCTGGCTTGCTAGAATTCTCCAAACTTAAAATCTATATAAGGTATCTTGCCAAGCGCCGAGTTAGCTTCCAAGCAACTTTAGAGGTGCTCCAAATTCTATCCAAAAGTGGGGTGTCTCTTGCAGGCATGTTTGTGGCAGAAGGTCACGTCCCTGTACCCGTACCTGCTATTTGATTGCTTAATCATGTATATACATACATACAGTACATCCATACATACATACATCCATACATACATCCGTACATCCATACATCCATACATACATACATACATACATCCACACATCCATCCATCCATCCATCCATGCATGCATACATCCATACATCCATCCATCCATCCATCCATCCATACATACCTACGTACATACATACATACATACATACAGTACATACATACAGTACATGCATGCATACATGCATACATGCATCCATGCATGCATACATACATCCACACACACAGTACATACATACATACATACATACACACATACATGCATGCGTGCGTGCATGCATACATGCATACATGCATGCGTGCACACACACATACACACACACACATACATACATACATACATTCATACATACATACATACATACATACACTGTCGTTATTTTTGTTGTCCAACTTTCATGTTGTGACACGTGCTACTGCACGGAGTAATCAAATCCTTCATGCAATGATTCCACAATGAAAGTTTGGCGGGGCGGCTAGTTGCGGCAAGTCTTCTAGAATGTGGTGAGCGCATGGAAGGAATGTCAAGCGGCTTGTGTCCAGACTCTTTGTGCCCCTTGGAACTATATTTGCAGTGCCATGGCTTTGCACACTGAAGCTGGATGAGATCCCAACGAAACACATAATCTTCCAACCTCCTGAGATCGCCTTAGGTGCATATCGATGAGAAAAACCCATCCATGTTCAATGAGCTTTCAATCTGGGTTGTGGAAGAGGGCTTGGATTATGCAGTGCAGATCTTTTCTGAGCCACTTTTCTGCCATTTCTGCTTTGAACTTTAATTCTGTCAAATAGTAACTGGCTGAAGGGCCGAAGTTGCGAAGTTGGGTGAATCAGGTTGAATATAGTCCGTGGTGGCCCGAACATGCTCCACGCAGAGCTCCTAGGTGGGAGACTTTCAGACGGAACTTTTGTAGTCCAATGCTGTTTTCAATTTCAGGTATTCGTCGTTTGTTGAACCACACCATTCCATGGGACTTCTGCATTCTGTTGAGCGAACAGGACCGACGAGTTCTTTTTGATAGGTGAGTAAGAGAGTCAAGTGAGTCGCAGGACTATCCATTGAGAGGAAACGCCGTTCTTGCCGAATATTTGTGGGTGCACAGAGGCACAAGCTTTGTCTCCGTGGACGAGGCGCTGCACTCAGCCTATATATATATATGTGTGTATAATGCACACCACCTCAAGCTTTTACAAGCTGGGCATTTGTGCATCTGTGGCTTAGATGCTTCCAAGAGGTAAAAGCACTCTTTACTTGCCGCCAGGGGGAGTGCGAACGAGATGTATCATACCAGTGTGGAGACAGGGTCGTCTCATTGTGCCTTGTCTGTGCTTTCCACCCTGCCCGTTTCATGTTACGAAATATGGACTCACGATGGACTCATGTGTCTATATTTCAGCCAATATGAACCGCCACCGGTATAGATGAATATGCATGCAAACGTAACTGCTTAGCACTCACAGTCACAACCCTACCTACCTGCTTGTGGTTTCGTGATGTTCCACGTCATTCTTGCATTGTCGGGGCCAAAATGGTGGGAATGCTCGTGCTGCCGCAGCACACGTGACACCCTGGCACGCATGCCATTCCACATTCGTGTCCATTTATACAACTACTCCGCTGCCATCCTTGACAACATGAGATTTAGAACAGTCAGGAAAGCGACCCCCGTATTTTGAATTGGCAATCCCAAGGCAATTCTCTCCCAGCCCTGTCAGGAAGTGCAGGAAACAGATGGGATCTCTCTAGCTGTAGCACTGTAGCTGCTACTGTAGCTTCTCCAGTCTTCAATAACTACTAGATGGTGTAAACTGTTTGTATAACATGTGGCCCTTGAATACCAACCTGGAAATGGTGGCTGGGCTTCCTGCTGCAGAAAGGTACGTGTAAAATTTAGCCACTGCGAAGATTCAACATTTTTCTTGCAAGCGTTTGGCTAGTTTTCTTGAACGGAGGGCACCACACGTATGTATGAACTAAAAACTGCAAAGCCATATTTCGCCCATGAACAATTCATAGCCACTCTGGATTGTCTCTACAAGATTCTGCAAGTGGGAGCAAGAACGCTACTAGGAGCAAAGAGCTTCCTTTGTGTGTTCTACCTGGTCACAGAAGTTTCCAAAGATCCACAGGACGCTTCACACCTCAATCCCCTTCACTACCCCAAGTGGTTTTTGCTCTCGCAGCAGGGCCGTTCTTCAGAAGTTGTTCTGACTGCTGCTGCGCTCAACAGGCTTACATCAGCTCATATCCTGCACAGCTCTTTGTGTTGTCAATGCTGTGATCCACCCTTTACAAAAAGCACTACGCAGGTTTGTGGTACCATGCGCATCTCACACGCAATCGAGACAGCTGTACTTACAAATGTGTAATATGTTGTTTCTGCATGTAGTTTGTGCTCGTGTTGACGGGTTCTATGGTGGGCACATTGGTCGACAAAGAGGCACTCAATTTGTGGCAGAGGTCTGGAGGTGTCCAATATCCAAAGATCCCTGGAATGAGAAGCTTGGTCGATGGTTATGTATATATATATATACACCAAAAAACAGTTGAGACACATTGTTTTACCTGAGGATATGCCAGTGGGTCTCAGTGGTTTGCCATTACCTATCAACTTGCGGCTGTGATTGGAACGCATTTATCAAACTCGTCAACCATTGTGGGAACCATCCTTCATGACCTCATCACAGTGAAGCAGCCGGATGAAAGCTTCTTCCAGGCCTACAGCAAAGAGGTGTTTTGAGGTCTCCCACACATTGGTGCAATTGCTTTGCCCTTCAAGATGCCAGATCAACTTCAGGCGGTGGTTCTGAACTCAGAGTTTTGCTCCCGCTACTCCGACTACACCCTGCACTGGACAGACAAGGACAGCATGCGAGAAGTGCGCAGCTTGACTAGCGAGTACAACATCATGTCGCCTGGAGTGTTGATCTTTCCGAGGGCAGCTTGGCTTTGTCGCACTGTGTGACATCAATCCGTTGTCAAGCGCTATCAGCCGCTATCAGCCCTTAGCAGAGCATTGCTGGGTTGAAGCTCAGGATGTGGCCAAAGTGTCGGAAGTTCGCGACAAGTCTTTGCAACTTGCCTTGAAGAGGATCCATGCTTCCGCACTTCTCACTCCTTGCGTGCAAAGCTTTGTCACAAGGTGGGCCTTCTTTGCACGGAAGTTTGACAACAGCCTTCAGAGCACTCAGTTGAAGGCGTCAGGGTATGAAAGCACATGCCATGCAACTGGTGAGGCATGTCTGGTGCACTTTGTAATTCGACCAGGATTCGCTGGATAAACTATCCAAGCAGAACAGCCGCAAGGTGTGGACCCGTGCAACTTGATGAAATGACACGGGTGGAAAGACGTCTGGAACGCAGAGCGCTCGAGAGCTACACTCCAAGAGAAGGTATGGCGATTCGGTTTGCATTCCGTTATTCCGAAGGAATAAGATGCAGCAAGGTACAGAAGCATCAAGTGCCAGCGCTGTGGCGCTCCCTGGCGAGTGACTCCAGTGACTTCTGATTCACTTGTGATGACTTATATACATGGATGACTTGTTCCTACATTTTTGGCCAGCCGCCCGCACCGCATATCAATGCAAGGACTTACGCAGGTATTGGCCAGCTCTTTCGCGGATGTTGTCTCTGTGGACCGCTTGCAGCGAGACCTGCCTGCATCAAGTCCCAAGAACTGCGTACTTGTAGAGCGCCCGCGTTGCAGGTTCCACTCAGCTTCGCAATTCAGTGCAATTTCTGCTTTGCTGCACGGACGAGGGTTGCTTTCCAAGGTAATGTGGACGGCCTTTTTCATGTCCAAACCTTGCAGTTGCAGCTTGGGCATGCTGCTCGGCGCAGGGTCCGCTTTATGCTTGTGCTAGGGCTGCCAAGTGACTGAACGTTGGGTGATTGGTATTGTTGGGAATTCATACTCGATTGAACAGTTTCAAGCCGGACTGCAGGGGCGAACGACTCTGCTTCTTCGCGAGAAGCTTGCGATGCCGTCGCGGTCAAGCTCACTTTTGGCCTTGAGGATTGGATGCGATTGGTGGCCTGACTGACAATGGCCATCTTCAAAATCTTTACAAAAGTTCTTGGAATCAAAGAGTGGCCGCACTAGCACTAGCTCACTAGCTCTATCTCACTTTCCGTTATGAATTGCGGCAGCTTTTACTTGGTTCAAAACTGGTGGCAATCACGCGCACCAGGAACAAGACTGACTTGGTATTTGATGGAGACGTGTCAGCTGTTGCTTCGTCAAGCTCTGGACTGTACAGCAGCTTGACGGGCAAGAGAGAGAGAGAGAGATAGATAGATAGATAGATAGATAGATAGATAGATAGATATAGAGCGAGAGAGTGAGTGAGTCTCAGTGAGTGAGTGAGTGAGAGTGAGGGAGTGAGTGAGCCAGTGAGTGAGTGAGTGAGTGAGGGAGGGAGGGAGGGAGTGAGCCAGTCAGTCAGTCAGACAGACAGTCAGTCAGTCATTCCGTGAGTGGGCGAGTCAGTGGGTGAGTGAGGCTGGTGAGTGAGTGAGCATGTTTCCAGTGTCCAGGTCAAATGCATGATCACGCCCCATGTCAAGGCGAAAATGCATAACATCTATCCTGGAGCAATGTTGTATGGGTTGAGGCCATGAGAGGCTTCAGGGCCGGATAGGTCTTGCTCTCGCCGCTAGCACAGGGTCAGACAAAGCACAGGTTAAGTTGTGATTGGTGCAAACTTGTGAGAGGACTACAGTATCCTGATTCACCTGTGCACAATCTAAGGTTAAAAAACTGACAGTCCCTTGTTGTGATGAGTGTTCGTGCCAGCCAGCTGCTTGCAGACTTGGACGCTACCAGTTGACTCATGTGAGTAAGTAGCACCCAACGTGCTTCAGATCCCACAGGAAGGTTCAAGCAACGGTCGGCGACCGATGTGGGTTTGTGATGGTTTGTTGACAATCTTCAGTTTTATTGATGAAAGTCCCACAAGACTTGTTTTTGAACCCATGTGGACCTCCCGCCGTCCAAATTTCAAAAAGACGGAGTACCGGTGTTCAGAAGTAATGGCTTGATCGGAAGGAATATGTCAAGCGAGGCAGCTTTTTTGAGCCTCCCCTGTGAGAATGACGGAAGCCTGAGAAGATTCCTCCAAGCCAGAAGCTGTGGCTATTCCCAGCATAAGCCTGAAAGAACCACTAAAGAAAGCGAGACTACGAAAGGCACTGCACCGCAAGGGGGGCCTTCCGAGCCCCAGCAGGCAAGATCCAAGATCTCGAAGCACTGTTGCATGGGAAAAGAACGTTGTTTTTTTCTATTTTTCAAGAAACTGCAAACCATCCCAGGTCACAGTCGAAGACATGAGAACCAAAATGCGGACAAACAACCATCAAAGCATTTCATTTGCTTTGCGATCTTTGGAAGAGGACAGCACTCACAAAACAGAAAACTCCTCACAATCAAGCCTTGCGTGGGAAAAGCAGAGGGCTCCAAGGGAACCAAACATAATGCACAACTGGCTACCCGTGAGTTGAACATAGCTTCACAACGTACTTCGAGAGAACGGAAGGACGTGATTTGTGCGCCTTGTTCTTGGTGGTGCTGTTTTCGTTTGATCTTGTGTATAGATAGATTGCTTGGGTGACATTGGGGAGATGACATTTCGTGCATAGGTGATGTTCCCGGGTGTTTTTTGGGCCTTGGACAAGAACGGACCACTTGCGATCAGGTTGTCCGAGTTTGTGGGCAATTGTGCACTGGCAAATGTCGAAGAAGCCAGTGTCAGAGGAGAAGCTGCTGGGTTGCTTCCTTCAAGAATGTCGAGCAAAAATCGAGCATCAACCGTTGCTTTTCCATTGATTTGCCGGCCTTTTGTTGCAAGGACCTGCTTCTAGTCTGGATTGATCCTGGTGGGACTCCTATGCAGCAACTTGCCCTTCCTTGCGACTTTAGCAGAGTCGAGCCAAAGCAACCATCTTGAAGCAACGAACCGACTAAAAAAGCTCAAGACCTCCAAGCAAACAAACAAATATTGAGAGCTCCTGGTGATACAGATGGCCAGAGTTCATAAAATAGGCCCCCAAAGGAAAGATCTTTCTTGCACGCTTGCCAAGTGAATGTATTGAGCTGAGGCATGCTCCGATCAAGATTTCAGAGCACTCAGTATTGGTGTGGCACCGGTACACTGCAACTCAGCCCCTATCTCCAGGAGAATGGACATTGGAGGTGGATAGGGCAAAGGACGCTACTAGGGGCTCCTGGCCGTACTACTAGGAACAAGAAGCTACTAGGGGCTCGTGGCATCGCTACTAGGAGCAAGAACGCTACTAGCTGTTCGACTTCCCCGGGTAAACTTGCTGAATCCGGTGCTCGTTTGCCCTACTTCACCAGGTGCAGTCTATGGAACAGGGCATTCTTGCGCGGCGAACCTTCTTCGTTTACAGAGAACCTTCACAAATTCCGTGGCACAAGGCCAGGTAGAAGGCTAGTCTAGTATGTTGCCATCTACATACTAGTCTGTTCGTTTTTCTTCATTTTGTATCCTAGTTTCATTCCGCGCAAAGTGGATGTATGTAAGGTGAAGGAGTTCTTTGACGTCCTACCATCCTAGATCCGAGCCTTTGACTGGACGCTGAACCATATGGTGGAGGGTCTTGGAGGACTTAGCTGAAGGTGCCGTGTAGTCGTGAAGATTCTTACATTCTGAGATGCCAACAACTGCCCCAAGTTGCGATTAGCGATCAGCTTGGCTGCTGAAAGATGACCTTCGGGACCTGGTCGAGCTGCAGGTTTCTTCCATGAGGCCGCTGTCAATCCCTAGCCTAGCCACAGCAATCAACAAAAACACATCGAGGACTTTATCAGATACTTTGCAAGCATGCCTTTGGCACTTCGTTCGAGCTGCCGGGCTGAACTTGACTTGCACCGGGAAAGGCTGCGTGCCTTCTTTTTGAAGGCCACGGTGCCGTGGTGCCATGCGACAATTTGCAGAGAGTGGCCTTGCCAAAGCTAGCTATGCTGGCTTGGGTGCTGGAAAAGCAATCCAAAATAGCAGTGGGTCGCAAATATCGTTCCAGTCCAGCCCTTCATGCCCAGCTACAGGATCAACGAAGGATGTTGCGTTTGGTACGGTGAGGGTCGGGGTCGATCAAGGGCAGCCACATAGCCTCCTGTCAGACTCGTGATTTGCATGAAAAGGGTGAACATGTACTTGGAACCCAGTTGCAGAGTTAGGTCAGTTGACATTGTGTAGGTTGTAATGTGTATGTCAATGTGTGAAGCCATTGTGCGTTGCACTGCTTCGTCGCGAGTAGAGGCCAAAGAGCAAAGTAACATGCTTGACCAAGTTTCCATTTCTGACCAAGAGTTGTGAGACCGCAAATGGATGGTTTAGTTTTCCTTTGAAAGCTGCCTGACACAAGGTGGCCTTGTTGAATCAGCAGTACCTCCTGCTACGAGGTGACATGCGGCCACCTCAGTGAGGTTTGCCTGTTGCAAGGAGCATGGCTTTTAGATTCCAAGGCTGTACTTGAAGCATGAGATGAATGTTTGCAAGAATTGGGTGCAGCACTCAGACCGCTGATGCTTTTAAGCAAAGCCGGTGCTACGCTGCCGGGCATGTTGAGAAACATTGTCCCACAAAAGAAGGTGCAGCAATCAGTCCGCTCTGCCCTGCAAACCCAGCCGTCTCCTGAGCTTGTACCGCGCCATGAGAACGGGAGAAGCAGTGAATAAGTTGCACTTCAGGTTCTGACGGCCAGAGCGACACAAGAGCAGCTCCGCATGAACAGCAGCGTTTGCTGGCCAAAAAGTGGTGGATGCTTGTCGCTGAACTCGCAATGGCGTGGCATTTCATCAATCATGAATCACATTCAACGTGTTGTCACAGGAGAGTTGGTTGGCTCAAGCATACAACATGCCAACCCCTGTTTCGTTGCCGGCGGAATCACCTCCTCAGTCTTGGGCTCAGGTTTGCAGGACAATTGCAGGACAGCTCCATGGCAGTGCATGAAGCTCCAATGACTGTGCACAAATATGCTTGCAGGCCAAAGGACTTCAAGCAAAGCAGCAGCTGGGCCATGAACCCACTTTTTGAGGCTCCAGCGGATTTGCACATAAACTTGAATTACTGTATTGCGGAAACACTGGTGGTACACGAAGTCCACGAAGTGCGGAGGTGAACGGCGAACGCAAAGGCGAAAGCGAACGCCCACCACGAAAGGAAAACGCGCGCGAACGCGCAACGCCCGGTGCCAGGTTTTGGCAGCATGAGCCCACCCTGCGGTGGGGGTCAGGTAAAACATGTTCAAACCTAGTGCACAGCGTGCACTTCACATCGGTGGAAGCTTTCAAAGACCTTCATGGTCTGACAGCCAAGCCTGGATTTCATCTCTCAGGCATCCACCCAACTCAAAATTCAATCTATCCAGCGGCCCATGGGGGTCTGCGCAGTAGGCGCAGTATCGGAGCCTCATGCGGTTCCGGTCGACCACAGCTTCAGCGCAATGGCACGAGTCGAAGTGCCAGCACTCTCCATGGCGGGATGCCATCACTGGTACCCGGTGAGGGCACATTTCCATGTGGTCATCGATCTTGTTCATCATCTTCCGCAGGAGACGGGCGCCATCACCCAGCAGCTGGTAGAGCTGGTTGCGCTCCTCCATCCCAAGCTCCATCCCCTTCTTGGCCTCCGTGGCGGCTGCTCGGAACTGAGCACTCCGATCCTGCTCAGCCTTGAGAAGCTCGCGGAGACGCGAAGGCACAATCGCTTCATCCTTCTGGGTCTCGGCATGGGCAACCACCACAGGCTTTGCCGCCGGTGCAGCTTTGGTCAGTCGACCAATCCAAAAAAACCATCAGCAGGACCATGAAAAGGAGTCCTGCCATCACATACAAAAACCAGTCAGGCTCAGGGGTGTTCTCGTCGGCAGGCGAGCAGGTGTTTTCTGCTCGGGCGTGTTGCAGCAGCAGGAGCCATAGTACCCAAACCATGACATTCGAAAGGCGACCCTTCTTCACATTCTGCCGGCGGCCAGCGACATGGCTAGAGGCAAAGACATACACAAGAGCGGCCTCGTTGGAAACAAAGTTGACGTACTCAGACATGCCACTCTCCGGGGTCTCATGGGGCAGCTCATGCACATGTTCATGTACTTCATGTTCTTCCGGGGTTGGTGCATCATGCATGTCATGCTTTTCCATGTTCTCAAAGCCGGAGGTCGTTTCAGCCAAGGCCTGGGATCTTTCAGCTTTTGTCTTTTTCTTCATGGCCTTGTACTCGGGGTCCCAAGTCAGCTTGAGCCGCTGGTGGCGCAAGCGGCTGCTCATCAAGGATCTTGCAGAATCCTTCGTGAGCCCATCGGCAATTTGCCGATCAGAGGACATCCATTTCAGGGTGCCACCCAGCTCAAACAGGCGCTCCTTCATCACACGGATCTCCAAGCTGACCCGCTTGTCCACCACTGAAGAGCTTGTAGCCTCTCGGTGGAAGCTGTCGTACAGGGCCTTCGCATCGGTGATCATCACCGGCTTCAAGGTGGAGGTCACACCAAGCAAGTCCTTGAGGGACATAGAAGGCTCCAGCAAATGATGCCAGTAACGGCATGCGAAATCAACTGCGTCGCTTGCCTGTCCACCAGATTGGGCCTCAGCTCCAAGAGACGAGCGAGCAATCCGCGGTGTGCGGAACGAGCGCCAGTCGATGATGTGGTACTCACCCTCCTCATCTGAGTGCATGAGGTCTTCATTCACCAACATCATGATGTAGCCTCCTTGCGAGGAACCATCAGCTCGGGTGGAGAAACCAGCATCAAAGAAACAAAGTAGGCGCAGCTTGCTCAATGGACCCAAATGGTTGTAGGTCAGGCCGATGTCCTTGTTGTCCTTGGCAAACCTGAGCAAGCGATTGCACTCAGCCAGAGTGCTCACAGTGCCATGGTTCACATGTGCAGCCATCAAGGAGGTGCTGCGCTGCAGATGCGGCGAAGTTTGCACTGCCGGCCACTGTAGTGAGCCCAGTAGACCACGCAACTGTGTGATCTCGCGCTCATGCAGGCTGTCGGTCGCTGAGCGCTTCTTGTCATAGTTGATGGGCTTCACCTTCTCCATATATTTGGTTTGATGAAGCTTGCGGCCACCGCTGTTGGTCTTCTCCAGCTCGCAACCGCAGTACTCCAGGACAGCTTGTTCTTCCTTCCATTCACGGAAGCTGAAATTGTTCTTGAGCATTTCAACGACTGCCTGGTAGCGAGGGCTATGTGGGCATCCAGTGCCAAGAAGGTCATCTACGTGCATGATGATCATTCCAACCATGCGGTGATCACCGAAGTTGCTCACCGTTTCATGCACTTGGTCACTGGCGTCATAGTTGGGGTCATCCAACTCGTAGACCAGGAAGGCGCAAGGATCCAATACATGCTGTTGGAGACCCATTTTGGTCAAACGTTCAACGGCCTCAAGATACCAGCCACGTGGTGCATCGATCTGGCCATAACATGGCTTCAACAGCAGCATGCGGGTGTCCTCGTCAGCTCCAAGCAATGCCAGTGCTTCAGAAGGAAGCTTGACCCACAGTTTGCGATCCTGGCTGCGACCCTGAAGAAAGGCCGTGCTGACGTCGGCAGTCCACATGTTCCATTGCATCGTCGCTGAAAGCGATAGCAGCATGGACCTGGAAAGTCGTGTGGTTGTTGGAGATGAAGTCTCAATGCTACCTGCCAAAGCGTCAGGATCAGCAAAACCACGCGCGATGAGCCGTGCCTTAGCCCTGGGTGAACCGTCAGGGTTCTTGGACCACTTCAGGAGGATGCGGCTCGTCAGGGTGCGTGCTGGGTCCGCTTCACGAACAGACTCAAAGACCCATACATGGTGGTCGAAGAAGCTCTTGAGCTCTTTCACCTTGGCTTCTTTGAACATTGCGCGCTCATGGGGGCCAAGTAGTCGCTCATTGACGCCGCCCTTCTCTTTCTTGAACTTCTTTTGTCGTGCCAGCTTTTGATCTTTTCCTTGTTGCTTGGCACTCACATGGTGGTGATGAGGTCCAGCGTACATAGCAAGCTCCTTCCTGGTGTCGCCGTTCAACTGATAGATGGTGGCCCCTGTCCAGGTGCCATTGACCATAGGCGGTGGTGAGTGTTCAATACCATCATCAGTGAACAGGCGGCTTTTCCCTCCAGGCTGGTGAATGAGAGTCACCCGGATGGGATCGAGCTTCGTCGCATCAACTGGACAATCTTTGGGAAGTTGACTCAGTGGAAGTCGGCCTCTTCGAGGGACACAATGGTGCCGGATGAGGCATCCAGCTCGGATCTCCCAGTAGTCGGCCTCCTTGTCAGCGAGCTGTAGAAACCCGTGTTCATCCATCCTCCACCCCGTAGGCAACATCTTCGTGTCAAGGTCGTCGAGGCAGAAGGCTTGTCCTGCAAGATCATCTGTTGCTGGTGGTGTCGGTGCTGAACTGCTGTGCTCTGCATTGTAGGGTGCAATTGCTGCATGTGCAGGTCGTGTTCGCCAGGGTGCAAAGCTCAATGTTTCTTGCCGATTTAGGCGTGCTCGCCTTTGTGCAAATGTTTCTGCCTCATGTTGTGGTTCATAAAGTGCAGCTGTTGCTGGATCAAGCTGTGGTCGCTCTTCTGCCGGTGGTTGTGATGCATGAGGTGTTGGCTGAGCGGATTGAGCCGGTGGCTCTTCGCTTGGCTCAGAAACTGAGTCCAGCTCGCTGGGAACTCGTGGCAACATCTCAAGGTCAGTTGCGGTAGTCCCTGGGTTGTTTGTATCTGCAGCTGCCGCGGTGCTTGTTGCTGTGTTCCGCTCTGCTTGTGCTGCCTGTTGTTCTGCCATTTGCTCTGCCAGTTGTGCCACTGCTGAGTTCGCTGGTGATGTAGGTGTGTACTCCTCTGCTGCTACTGGTGGCAGTGCTTCAGGTGCATCAGGACGTGGTGCATCAGGTAGTAGCAATCGTGGTCTCTGTCGGGGAGGTGCCATCTCGTGGTCAGAGTCTTCCATCACATCACCATCAGGGTCATCATGTTGATCGTCAGATTCGATCTCAGCCAGTGTCCTCTTGTTGAGGCGGTGGAGGTCATAGTAGCGAGTGACCCCACGTGAACGAAGCTGCTGCACCGTAGACAGGGCTTGTTGAGCATCATCCAAGGCGTGGCCAATGCTTTTGATGTCAGCACGCACGTGGTGAGGCGCACGTCGAATGAGCTGTGTCTTGTAGGCCAGCCAGTACACGTGGACACGCTGTTGACCTTCAGAATCAGCCTTGTGCTCTTTCATCACAACCTGAGCGGGCCCAAGCCAACGAATCTTCACAAGATCAGGTTGTCGAGCATCTCGCCAGAACCAAACCTTCTGGCCCAGGCTGTACTCAGCATTCAAGCCACGGTACTTTGCTCCAAGTGCCCTGCGGAGACGGCGGTCAGCATCTGCCTCAATCATAGCCTTTTGTGCTGTAGAGCGACGAGCCAGGTTGATCTCGAAGTCCTCATGGCCACCAAATTGTGCGGGGTTCAAGCGCTCCGTCAGGAGACTACCTGACAGTTGAGGTTGATAGCCCAAGACCCACTGGCTAGGTGAGAAGCCAGACACAGAGGTGACTGCATTCAACTGAGGAACCACATAGACCAGGGCCTCTTTGACGCCAGCAGCATTGAAGTGCTTGTACTCGTCGCAGTAGACCTCGAGAGCCTTGCGAAGGACTGCATGGCGTCTCTCAACGATAGACAACCTCTCATGGGCTTCACCAGGGGCGACTTCATGGAAGATGTCGTGACCTGCTGTCCACTCTTCAAACTCACGACTTAGCCACCCTCGTCCTTCGTCGGTGATGAGGTGCTGCGGAGGTCCAAACATAGCAAGCCAGCCACGTTGAAAGGCCTTCACCAGTTCCTCAGACTGCTCATTCTGCAGCAGCATGGCCACAGTGAAGCGAGTTGCAACATCAACCATGCTCACGATCGGGAACTTGGTCGTGCCCCGGCGCAGCCAGAAGACATCAGCCTGCACGGTCTGGTTGAAGGTCGCTGTCGTCGGCGTCGCAGCGGGTGCAGCATCCGCAGGCTTCTTGTATTTGGCACAGGCGACACAAACATAAGTTCTTGCTGCTTCAAGGACTTGATCACTGGCGCCACGAGCTGCAAGTAGCTCTTCAAGTTCTTTGGGTGCAAGATGTCCAAGATTCCGATGTAGCTTCTGGACAGTGCGAATGGCATCCTGCTTAGGGTCTTCAACAAAGAACTCAGCAAGCAGGAGTGTGAAGGTCTCGGCAAAGGGTTGGTGACAAAGGGCTTATCCCCAGCGACTTGCTCGGCGGTGCGAAGTGCGCAGCTGGAGCCTCCCTGGCGGGGAGGCTCCGCTACCAATGCGGAAACACTGGTGGTACACGAAGTCCACGAAGTGCGGAGGTGAACGGCGAACGCAAAGGCGAAAGCGAACGCCCACCACGAAAGGAAAACGCGCGCGAACGCGCAACGCCCGGTGCCAGGTTTTGGCAGCATGAGCCCACCCTGCGGTGGCGGTCAGGTAAAACATGTTCAAACCTAGTGCACAGCGTGCACTTCACATGTATAATAGTCTATGATGTCATATGCCTATGCAGTTTCTCTTTGAAACCCTCAGGCGTTTTTTGGACCGACAGCTGGTGCGGAGCTCATCACTACTGAGCTGGCCCGGCATACCTTTTTCTTTCTCTTTCCCTATGAATGGTTAACCCAGGTCCGGATTGGACGAAAGCTTGCGCCGTGACCGAAGCTGATGCGCAAATGCTCAAGATGCAAGAGTCCTCCTTCCTTGGCGTGGAGGGTGCTACATCTCTCAAAGCCGAGATCACAGGCAGACGTTTCGAGGGTGGCTAAATTGAAAGAGGATCATGAAGTATGTATAACATACATATATATATATATATGTACAATAGGTTGATTTTGTGATTTGTCAGGCGCACAAGGCAACCATTTTTGCATGTCGGCGATTGGCGACTTGCTAAGCTAAGCGGCACCAGGCAAGATTCCAGAGCTCAATTCTGCGGCGCACTATCGGTCTGCCCGAAAGTTGGTGCAGGAGATCTGGCAGACATCGCATCTCAAGCTTTAGGTTTCAGAAGCGTTCACAATGGGAGTGACACATAATGACACGTCAAAGTGACTGAGTGCGTGCGCGCGAGAGGGTAGGGGAGGCACACTACTGCGTGCTATGGCAGTATCCGTCAGAGGGCTGTTTTTTGAATTCTTTTGTTCTACTCCGTGGCTTCTGTCTGTTGCTTCTGTGGCTTTCGGCTTTCTTGGATTTTGGCCCTTGGCTTTTGGCTTCATGGCTGCTTCACTTTTGGCTTTCTCTTTGGTCTCCTGGTCTCTTGGGTCTCTTGGTCCTCTGTTTCCAGAGTCGCCTGGTCTCCCTAATCCTGGGGCCACTCTTTCTTAAGCACTTTGTGGGCCCATCGAAAAAAGCAAAGTTTCTTTCACACCTGCGAGCACAAGAAGTCCTTTTGATAGCTTTTTGGTGAATTTAGATTTTGATGGCTTTTGGCCTTTCATGGCTTGTGTGGCAGTTGGGTTGACGTTTGGTTGAGGGTTGGTTTGGTTTTTCATGGCTTGCTTTTGGTCGTGGATTTCGTTGGGTTGTGATGGCTAGTTCGTTTTGAAAACTTACTTTCTTGTCGGCATTTGGTGGCTTTTTGGTGGCTTGGCACTTGTTTGCTCTCCTTTTTTTGGGGAGCCGCTGCGCTCTCCCCCTTCTTCAAGCCAAGCCAAGTCAACCAAAGAAAAGACAAAACTAAACCGCAGCCTAACTAAAGTCAAGCCGAAACAGCTTTGGGTATATAGGGGGTGACCCTTCGCCCTCTTCTGGGAACCTTCCTAAAACCATATAAAAAAACCCACAAGGATCAACCTAGCAAAGTTCAGTTTCCCTAAAAATCTAGGAACCCGCCCTTACATATTAAATGAGTAGGCGCCTACTTAATTAAGTAAGGCGGGCTATGAAAAGCAGACATTCCAAAACTAACATTGCAGCAGTATTCGTCCTTTTCCCTTTTTGCATGCTTGTCATTTGCAGTGCAGATGAAACACTCACCGCCGAAGGATCTCGGTGGTGCTCTAGCAGTGAAAGAAGAGCTGATTTATTCTGGCTATGTCAACGGCTCGGGACTTGGATGGAACTTAAGCAGTGCAGCAGCGCTCGAATTGCAAACTCGCGGTATGATCTTTTTGTGTTTGCTAATGCACGCATTTGGCATATCTTAAGTCAGGTGAAACCTCCAAGCTCACGCTGCTTGAGAGACCGATGAACATTTTTGCTCTTCTTGCGAGTGGCAATTTGACCCTCGGAGAAATCTGAAAACATTTTTAAACATTTCAGGTACATTGACACACACACACACACATATATATATATATATATACACATACACATACACATACATACTGTAATTATATATCAATATAAAGAGTTATGTACTTTAATAGGCATATATATACATGGTTTGCTCTATTTGGAGCATTTTGGTGCACGTTGCTGTTCCAGTGGTTCTTAAGCACCTGCAGAGCCTGAGGAAGCAACCAGAATCTGAACCGGAACAGGAGTGCCATGCATTCAGAGTCGCTTCATGTGGATGGCTTGCATGCACAAGCGCCACTGACCTGTGAGAACAGGTGGGGGCTGAAGGCCCGAGGTTCACTGTAGGAGACTGTGGGGAATGTAATGCTCAGTCCGCCTTAGGGCCTTAGGGCATGCCAGTTCTTCCAATGTGCCCCTTCGTTCTTCTATGAAAATGCACAGACCAAACAGCGGTGAATCCAGCCCCCCTCACGTGACAAGTATTTGAGCAGCTGTCTTCCGGATTTGTGGAAGAAGTGCGAGAGGAACTGCTTGGCACCTTCAAGACCAAGTTCAAGATTTGCAGAAACAAACTGGAGAATGACACTTGGCTGCAAGCCACATGCCATCATAGCCTTCGTGCACTGGCGTGAGCTCCCTGCTCAGCCAAGGACATCAACTGGGATAACCCAGATATGAAGTGGGTGAAAACTTCATCAATGGCTCGTTTGCATCGGTTTTTGACAACAAGAGATTTGCATTACCAGTGGTTCAATCCGCTAATCTTTGGTCTTGTTCCAGCGGATGATGATGGTGTAGCAGCCAGAGCAGCTCTAGCTGAAGTGGAGCAGATGAAGTCTGCGGCCCTTCTGTTTGCCAAGAATGCAGGATGGTCGGAGAAAATCGGCCTCTTTGTCAATGTTTTTGGGCACAACAATGTGAACTCCTTGTTCATCCATGTGCTCGACATGGCGGAACTTGGACCTGCATTTAGCTACCATGCCTTCAAGAATTTGCCTTTGGATGACGTCATCAAGGTCTTGCGTGAGGAGGCTGCCACTAATTTCCTCCCAGCTCCTGTGAAAACAACAGATTTGCCAGGCCTTCTTGAGAAAGCAGGGGCAAGGAGGCGAAGAGATTCAACCCTTGGAGAGAACCACCAGAATTTGGGAAATTTCTTTTTTGCGGGAACTGATGGTGCAACCTCTGTGAAAGCTGAGATTGTCGGCCGCCTCCCGATTATCAAAGATGCTGCAAGTTTCCGGGCTGCAAGACGGATGCTCACTGAAGAGCTCGGAGGCATGGCAACTTTGAAAGAGGAGCTGAATAGATCGGGTTTCATTGACCCAGTGACGGGGAACTTGACAACAGGGACTCGTCCCTTCAATGTCTTTGCTCGCATTGGTGGAGGTGTCATGACACAACCAGGAATGGACAAGGAGCAGGAATATCTTCAAGAGTTTAAAGATCACTTCATTATTTGTAGCAACTTGCCAGCCAACGATGAGCATTGGGACTCAGATGACAAAGAATGGGTGGGGAAGGCATCGATGTCCAAACGCCATCGTTTCTTGACCATCAAAGATTTGCATTGGCAGTGGTTCAATGTACTTGGCTTTGGGCTCCTGCCAGAGAGTAAGGGAGGGGCAGGACTTGGTCGAGCGATTGCTTTGATAGAAGTGATGAAGGCCGCAGCTTTGCGCTACACTTCGCTTTGTCCTGGTTGGAGCGATCGAGTTGGCCTTTTTTATCACGTCTTCGGGCACAACTCGGTAAACTCTCTCCACCTTCACATTTTAGACATGGCAGAATTAGGTCCAACCTTCTGGCACTTTGAGTACAAGAACTGTCCTCTGGATGTTGTCTTGAAGGTTTTGAAAGAGGAGGCCTCTGCTAACTCCATGGGTGCCGAGAACTTGGGTCTCATGGCAGAGGTCACCGCCGCCGCGAAAGCGGCAGCAGCAGCTGCTGAGGCAGCAGTGGCACAGAATCGTCCAAGTGTCCGCATGGCGAATGGCATGGAAATCTTGAACTTAAATGTGGGTGGCGAACCGTTTTCAGTTTGCAGGGGCACTATGTTGCAGGCTCCTCCAGATTCCTTGTTGTACAAGCTCTTTGCCAAGGACAGCGTTCGCCTATCAAATTTGGATGCCAACCAGCGTCCTTATCTTGAATATCCAGCAGTTGCCTTCAGGCACATCGTCGACCGCCTTAGGCTGCTCTCGCAGCTTGGTGAAGAAGATGTGCTACAACCTTTGGAGCTTCCCGCCAGCCAGGAGCAGCAAGTGAGAGAGTTGGCATGGATCTTGGGAGTGGAGGACATGGTGCTGAATAGTGCACAGTTTGGCGGTGACCCTGAACAACCGAAACGGCCTCCTAAATTGGGCAGGCCTTTCTGTTGTGTACGGCGGCATCCTCGTACGCGCACGCTCGCAGAGACCCAAGACTCCAAGGTTTGAGAGAGGTTCAAGGATTTATATGCGTAGATGTGCTGCTATGTTTCACCAGTGGCCAGTCCTCAGGCTTCCCACCAAATGGTGCGAAGTTCAGGGACACAGTGTTTTCCGGGGCTCATGTGTTTGCTCATGAGCTGTCCACTTCAGAGCGGTTCGCAGAGCAGTCACAGCGGATAAACTTAATCAGACATTGCATTTGGCAGCTGTCTCTTTACAATGAGAATGCAGACCGTTCTGTGTTCGTTGCCTACCCCAGCTTACCAGTTTCAATTGTAGGGACTAGGAGAGGCCACAAAGGATGCCAAAAGCGGATGTCGTTTCAGGCTACGCTGACTTGACTTGACACAGATTAGATTGATATGACTGATGAGATTCTTTTGCCCCGAAGCCTTCTTGGTCCAGAGCCTGGCAGACCCCGGCCAGTTCGGAATGCGTTGGCCATGAATGGAGCACTGTTGCCGCATCACGGCTATACCCGCCAGCCCTGCGTGAGCGGACAGAAGGCGAACCATACTAGCGTCCTTGCTCCTAGTAGTATGGCCAGGAGCCCCTAGTAGCTTCTTGTTACTACTAGAAAGGCACTTGTTACTAAAAGCGATGCACTTGTTCCTAGTAGCGTCCTTGCTTTGGATGCATGTATCGATAGACATTTTGAACATTTGTGGCGGAGCGCTACAAGCCTTTATTGCACTTGCTTATATCGGAGTTGGAACACTATAAACTCTGCAGCTAGTTTCAAGGAGTCGAGGAGGCGTGGCGGATCTCACAAACCAAACGAATGTAGCAAGCTGTAAAGTTGAATGCCGTCACGAAGCTCACAACTTGCTCAGCTCTTGTTGTGTCCCTCTACTCTCACTGACGCTTGCTGTCTCGTTTTGCCCTCGCTCAATTTTGGTACCAAGAAGCTCTGCAGTCTTGCCCCCCGGAATCTTCTGGCTCCCATCCACTGAGTAGTCATTAATCTCGCCACTGTTCCTGGGGGGGCTGCCTCATCTTGAGATTGAGAGGGAGAGGCATTGAGCCGGGGTAGAGAGAGATAAAGCTTCTTGCAGGGCTGTTCCCTTTTAAAACCCCTCCGGCACGGCTCCAATGCGCAGGTGGCATTTGTTGCAGAGGAAGACCTGTGGATCACAGATTTGCTTGGGTCCACAGTTTATCGCCTGGGCTGCCATGGAGCTTGCCAGCCTTTGCTTTCACCTGGTGGTGACTTGCTTGCCTTTGCCCTTGCCTCGGACTTGTGGGTGATCACTTTGGAGGATGGTCACAAAAGGCCGGTGTCCTTTTTCCTTTATCAGTTCTCTCCCTCTATTTTTCCCCAGATAGCGTGAGCTATTGGGATTCTTACTTCAAGTATAGGAAGAGCTGCATGTGTGCGTTTTCGAGCTTGGGTGCTGGTGCCGCTGCAGGGTGCCGCTGCTGTGTGCACTTGGGAGCTTGCGTGCAGGGTGCCGCTGCTGTATGCGCTTGGGAGCTTGGGTGCTGCTTGGGAGCTTGGGTGCTGGAGGCGGTGGGGTGCCGCTGCCGCTGCAGTGTGCTGTTGGTGCTGCCGGAAAAGTCAATTGGTCTATGCTGGCCTAATTTTGAATCTCTCCCATTTCTCTTTGTTGCACTTCTTGAGCAGGGTGCGCATTTTGCTTTACCCACATTGCTCCAGGCGACTTACATGGTTTGGCAGCGGTGCCTTGGCTTGAATGTGAGACATGTGCTGATGACGGCTCAGGAAGTCCTGACTGAAAGCAGCAGCAGCTGAAGTGATTGTAGAATCGAGGTGACCTTTGGCCTACTGCGTGGTCTGGCGACAATGCCATAACTTTTGCAAGCACATGCTCCTTGATCTGTACCAGCCAAGCTAAGTACTGCGCATGTGGGGTCTGAAGAATGTGAGGTGCAGACGCCTTTGACCGACCTTCACTATACCAAGTTGATCTTTCAGGCGCCCTGCGTATCGAGAATGGACATTTGATTTCTTGGCATGATATGCGGCTAAACAAACAGCAACTTGCAGTAGCCATCAGTAGCACAAAGCTCACCTTCAAGTAGACGGCTGTCAAATGAGTCAAATGCCTTCTCTGAAGGTGGTGGGCAAAGAAAGCTCTTCGAAGGGGAGTTTCTGGGCATTTTTGGTCAACAAAAACTCAGCATTTCATTCGATTGGTCAGTGTGTCTTTAGGTTTGATTCGATTGCATTCGGGCCTGGGGGTGGCGTTTGCGTTGGTCGAAAGATGCTGGACACGCCAACCACCTTGTGGAAGGCACTGGGTGTTTGAGTTGAACATAGCCATACTGTAACCTGAACACCGGGTTTTGGAAAAGCAGTCTTTGTACGAGTGTGGATTTGTTTTCTGGCGCAGGGATATCGTGGTGGGATGCACGGCTCTGTATGGCTAAATTTGGATGGCACATTTCAGCCCCTGAAGTTTAAGGATCCATTTTGTCCATCTGAAGTTGGTGTGTTGATGAATATCAGCTGCTTGATGTGGCAGAGAACTCGATTGTTTTTCTTGGCCGACCCGGATGGATCGGGAAACTTGTGGAGCACGAACCTGAAGGGGGAGGATTTGCAGAAACACACCGGGCACGAAGTCTTTGATGTTCGTTATGCCAAGAATGACCAGGACATGATCGTATACACAGTCGCAGGGCAGCTTTGGTGCTTTTCCACCGACACGGCGGAGTCTTATCCTTTAAGTATCAGTCTTGGGCATCCGAATTGTCATTTGCCAAGAAGCTTGCCAGCTGCTGAATGGGCTGAAGAGGTCGCACTACATCCCAAGGGACACCTTATTTCTTGCTTGTGCCGTGGCTCTGTCTATGAAATGCCCTTATGGGAAGGTCCAGTCATGCGGCTGCCGAAAGAAGTTTGCAGCTGTGTAGCCTTTTGCTACCTGTGCTGTGGTCGTGTCTTGACGGTAGCAGATTCAAACTTACCCAACTGGACTCTCGCGATCCATCCAGCTTACCCCATGCTCCACTGCGAGGAAACGGGAAAGATTGGGGATGTATTGCGTGATCTCACTGATATTGTCTTGCCAACGCAAAGCTTTATTCTGCCAGATATGCGAGGGCAGCTATCTAGTATCACTGCTTCTCCTGTTCACGACGCTGTTTTGATTACGACATCCCGGAATGAGTTGTGGTTGGTCGAGTTTTGCACTGATGATGGAGATCGCCCGTCAGCAGAGCGACCCTTTGCCAGAACAGACACTATTCTTCATTTGGAGTCGTCACAGCTCGACTTGAGTGAGTGGGAAGATGGGATTTCAGATCCATCATGGTCTCCGGATGGGGAGTGGGTCGCATACTGCCGGAAAGATTTGCAGCATGGTTCGTCCCTCATCTTGTTGGAATTGAAGAGCCGTGTGAAAACCGTTGTCGCAGATTCGACATTCATGAACTTCTCTCCTAGCTTCGATCCTGATGGCTCGTACTTGGCTTTTCTATCCACACGGTCTTTTGCTCCCGTGGAGGATGACGTCACTTGCAATTTGAGTTTTGCGCATGGTGCTGATGTGCCCTTCCTGGTCCTGTTGCAGAAAGGCTGCCGGAATCCATTCCTTCGCTTGGCCCAGTCTCAGTCCCAATTGGATGGTGATGGTGAAGCTGAGAGCTCGTGCTCTGGTGAGAGTGAGGCCGAAGAAATGAGCAAGGTCAAGGAGGTACTTGTTGACCTAGAGGGCATTGAGAACAGGCTTTTGAAATTCCCGGTGAAAACTGGTCGATACAAGAAGTGTGCTTGGACTTCAGGTGGCAAATTTCTTTACATGCGAGAGTCACCTCGACCAAGTTGCCCCCATGAAGTTGGTGCTGATGATGATGATGACGAAAAGGAGGATCACAACTTCTTCTTGAGCTTTGACTTTCGCAATCTGAAAGAAGAGAAACTCTGGGAAGATGTGAGTGATTTTTCTCTTAGCTTGAAGTTGGAGGACATGGTTGTTTGCAAATGTGGGGATGATCCAGAGTATATGGTGGCATCTGCGGGAAAAGGTGCAACTGAAATGCAGGATGATGCAAGCGAAGCAAGCTCGACAATAGGTCCTGAGTCTGGCACCCTTGACTTGAGCAGAATAATGTTGCAGGTGGCTTTCGCCGATGAGAAAGTGCAGACGTTCACGGCAATTAAGGAATTTGTCAAGGAGTGTCTTTTTGACCCAGAGTGTGGAGGTTTGGATTGGGATGGGCTATGTGAATCGTACTCCAAGGTATTACCCCGAATTGGCAGCTGGACAGAGCTGACCGACCTTTGCACAGAGATGCTTGCAGAACTAGGCCTGAGCCATGTGAGCCTTGATACATCCAAGGAAGAGTTCGCAGAGTCGCGGAGCGGATCGGCGAACGATCTGCGAACTATGGGAGTGGCAGAGTGCTCATGGCGAGACTTCACGACCTTTGGAGCCTATGAAGTTGAGAAGTTAATTGAAGGCGATCGATGGGATCCTCAGAGCAGTGGTCCAGTGGCGCGGCCAGGAGTTGGAATGACAGTTGGAACTTTGATTTTGGCGATCAATCGAATTCAGGTTTGCAAATCAAAGCCTTTGGAGCAGCTGTTAGCTGAAAGCAACTCTTCAGAGGTTTTTGTCACCTTTGTGCCTGCGGAAAACGTTCAGTCGTTCCTGTCAATACAGGAAGCCCTCAAGGAGCATGGTGGGGTGGAGGGTTTTCACAATGCCTGGAGCCGCTTCAACCAAACAGATCCTAGTCGAAGCAAAAAAGGCAAGAAGGATAAGAAGGGAAAAAAGCATCAGAGAAAGGGTGCTAAAGAGGAAGAGACTGAGCGTAAGCTGGCTGCCATGTTCAAGAAGATGCATATCGAAAATGTTTCCGTGTGGAGAACCGTGCGGGTGGCGACAGCTGACGAAAACACGAGGAAGAATGCGATTATGCGTGATTTGGTTGAGATGAATGGGAGAGTGGTGAGTGAGGCCACCAACGGGCGGGTAGGCTACATTTTGGTTCCGGACACTGTTCGGCTGGGCTTTGTGGAGTTCTACCGCCACTTGGAC